CCCCCCCCCCCCCCCCCCCCCCCGGTATCCAACACACACATGTTCGTACGACCGGTCAACAATTCCCGTCTTCACAGAAAGGGAGGTTCCACACAGATACATACTAGATGTATTCACCTCCTGCCCAGACACGAAACTTCCGCTGGGGGCCTCGACAACCGCAGTGCCGTCGACGGCGTCGCCGTAGTGGTTGTCGTCGCAGCTGTTCCCCCTCTGCTCCGGGCAGAATAGCTCCGGACAGACGTCCATCACCGCCGGCAGCATGAAGGCGTGCAGGCTTGCCAACCTGATGATGATGACGTGTGTAGTGCCGTAGGCATTGTTGTCGTTGTCGTTGTTGTTGTTGCTGTGGTGATATTGTCGTTGTTGTTGTTGTTGTTGTTGTTGTCGTCTTGACATTAAAAACCGTTCCGGTCTCCTCTCAGTACCTTCCTTCTACGTGGCTATAGGACATGGGTGCCACGTGCTCGAGAGAGGCGGGAAGCACATGAAGGCTTTCATCCATCCAACCGTGCCAACAACCTCATGTGTTTTTTTCGTGTATTCTAGCATACTAGTGAGTTTCGAACGAAGATGGACCAGTTCCGCATACATGTAGGCAACAAAATCAACTACAGTCGGCGGAATGCCGTCTATAGCGGCAGGCACCGAAATCGCTTGGCACAAATGCCTATTAAGAATAGCGGCACTGCCCTCAATAGCGGTACCACAATTGACACTACCTACCGCTATGAGGACCGCCGACTGTACAGGACGTCACCGTATTCAACCGCGCCAACCTGACGTGTGTCTCGTGTATGCCACGAGTTCGAAACGAATACAGTACAAGTACGTCATTGCTCGAAGGGTCTGCCCACATCTACTGTAGCTAGCGGCGAACCAAGAAACCGCAGAAATCCATTCCACCCTTGTGTTCTGCGCGGTCGGGCGCAAATAACGATGGACGTTGGAGGCGGTGGTAGTCGTCGTTCTATATGTCGGTGGTAGTGTTCTGATCAAATTGTGGCCTGCCTCTACCTACCAACTCCGTCCTCGTGCCAATCTAAACCGTTCTCCCGTGGATCCCGGGGTCCCCATGGCCCTTTTGTCCCCGCTCACCCTTCGTCACGGCAGCCGCCGCCGCCGCCGCCGCCGCCGTCGACCGCCCTCTCCGCCCACGCCTCCCTGGCGGTAAGCCGTATCATTAGGCTCAAGGGCAGCTCTCTCAGCTCGTGCCTGGGCATTGTTTTTTTTAAGCATGAGAATGTGGTCGACGCTGTTTATTTGGTGGGTCAGTCAGTGTTCGAGCACGAACGCTTCGTCAAGGGGCGGCGCAGCTGTGACTGTTTGCAGCGCGAGTACAAGCTTTGTTCCGTTGCTTCGAGAGACGCAAAAGTGAGTGAAGCGTCGTCAGGCTTGCTTTGCCTGTTCCTTTTCGGGATATGTAGCTGAACGTTTCAAGATACGTCGCGAGAATTCGACTAGATACTGGCTGTAGCTCGCTGCCGTGTGTGTTGGGGGGAAGTACGAGCCTATTCCGACTAATACTGTACCTGCCAACTATTATACTTACTTGTTGTTGTTGAGTAAGTGGACGGATGGACGGGCGGCGAGCGCGCATGAAAAGACGCGCATCGTGCTACTTCTACATCGCACGCAACGTGCTACATACAATACTACATCCGTCGCGCGACAGCCTTCAAGCCTGTTTGTTGCCGTGCCATGCAGTGCACCAACGGGAGGGGGGGGGTACTCATAGTCGTGCATGCCGTAGTCGTTAGACCATTGACCTCGCATCCCTACAAAGCCGGGACGGAGCACGCCGGGTTTTCACCGGACCAGGCTCTCACATCACCAAGCGCGAAGCGCCGTGAGGTATTTGGCGAGTCGCATGAAGGGTGAGCTGCATCCTGCTAAGGGTGTTCGGCATCTTGTGCTTACTTCCTTGCGTACGGATGACAGCTACGTATGACTTAATTTATTTTCTGGTGCTTTCACTTCCAGAGACAGTTGTAAGCACTGTGTAACTGCCTCGAGGAAGCTTGACCATTTTAACACAACGTGGTGCGATCATCCCCCGTTGCGCGGAGTGAGGGTTCTCGACCCCGCACAACATGATCTACCCGACCACCATTATGGTTACCGCCAAAAAAAAAAAAAACGAGGGAAAAAAAAAAAAAACGGTAACCTGGTTGCCGAGTTCACGAAGTGAATTGGCTTGTTTTACAACGTCGTTGCCAAGCGACGAAAACCCAATCTCGATGGCAAACACCGAGGGGGGGGCTTGTTTTACAACGTCGTTGCCAAGCGACGAAAACCCAAACCCCGATGGCAAACACTACTCGACCACCATGGTTACCGCAAAAAGGGGGGGGGGGGGCACCGTGGTTGGTCTTCTGGCCTACGGTTGGTCTATTTCAGGGTTGTCGTGTCCATTTCTTCGTTTGCTTCTCAGAAAAAAAAAGAAAAACACACAACTTAGCATATATGCTTCAAACGGTCACACCATGGACAGCGATTCCAAACTCAAGACACTTTCCATATTTACGTCGAACGTTTTGTTTTTCTTTACCGGCATGTCTCCGGGGCTATTCGTTGTCGTTTACTTGTTGTAAAAAACTCGACAATACCCCCCAAACAGTCACACAACCATACGGATAACGATTCCAAGCAAGCAATCAAGACACACTTTTCCATATTTGTACATGGAACGTTTCCACATTTTCTTACCGGAACGGTGCCGGGAAAGGGCTCCTCCTCAACGAGATGCAGTGGGTGTGGTACAGCGCGAAGCAAGTGGCGAGCAAGGCTGGCATCGCTTCAGACACGATCACCACCTGTGTGTGGGGTGGTGGTGGTGGTGGGGGTTCGCCAGAGGATACAAAATACGAGTGAGCGTGGGGGGTGGGGGGCTCCGCGGATTTCACGCTGAGGTGAGCGAACGGCTCGATAGCCAAAAAAAGGGTAACGGCAAACCAAGGCATTCGTGTTATGATCGCCATCCACACGCACTTACGCTTCCCCCGGTAGATTCGTCTGTCATCAACAGCGTGTTGGGCGGAAGAATTGCACTTACAATCAGCTACAATCGTGCAAGACGAAATAAACCAGACAAGCAGAAGACTACGAACACCTCGTGGCTACCCGCTATGCAGTACCTCTTTACCTTGAAGCGTGTGGGTATTTCCTGACTACACATGCACTGTTTCGGCGAAATGCACCGCTCCTCGTGGCGCAGGGCAGCAGAAACGCGGCTACGAGCGGTAGCGATCTCATCAATTAGGCCACCGGAGAGCGCACTCAAAACCCTCGTGTGAAGTGCCTGAAGAGGCCACCTGCCTCCCCCAAACCACGGTAGTGGTATGCATGCATAGAAAACCGCAAAATCATACCCCGCGTAAATGTCCGAGAGTATTCTCCGCCCCACCAGTGACCGGTGTTCGGCGGCGGGCGGGCAGCCGTGGGCTGCTGCTGCTGCTGCTGCTGCTGCTGCTGCTGCTGCTGCGACAAAAAAAAAAAAAAATACAAGGCACATTCTACCGTTGTCCGGTGCAACATAGAGAGATTTACTTCGAAACAGCCGTTGGTAGAAATAGCAGCATCGGGATCACCGTCTGTCACATTGTTCAATGCAAACAATATACAGCAGTGGAAAAAAAAAAAATGACGCCTATTTTGGTGGATGCTTTTAGGCAACACGCCCTACTGCCGCCGTCTCACCTCTCCGCGACTAGAACCGCCTCCCGTCCAGTTGCCGGGTTTCCGTACCCCCCCCCCTCCCACCGCCCGCGGCGCCCCCACCACCACACCGCCCGGCTGCAGCAGGCCCGCCGAAGGCGTCATGGAAGGGTGAGGGAGGGGAGGCGGCATGCCCGGAAAAAGGGGGTCCTTCGGGGGTGGCATCGCCACCGTCAAGCCCTGTAACATGTCAACAATATGCGTGAGCGTTTTTTCGTAGAACAACAAGATAGTACAGGCAATTCAGACGTCCAATGGCGCTCATCGGACATCCCGCCGGATGCCTTGGACGGCCAATTTGTGTCTACCTGTCGCACGAACTTCCCACGGCGTCCCAGGACATATGTCCCGAACGCACAGGTTGGAACCTTTGGGCTATCAAAAGTTGTTCCCACCCACGGTGAAGCGAAGGCATGGCATAATGCGGCTGTGTAGTGATTACGGAGTGTGATCGTCCTCGACAGACGTTGGGGAGATTGTACCCTATACGAAGAGAAGGGGATCTCCACAAAAGCAAAAAATATATACATATATATGGGACGGAAAAGTGGCCAGCGTCTTCCAACGAGCTGGGATTGAACAGTCTAGATTTATCTTTCTTCCACGAACATTCCTGTAACTGCCCGTGTACACAGGGCACTGCGTTTTTTCGCCCTTTAGTCGCCCCATTCATGAACCGTCGTGCACAGCAGTTGTAATTTCCCAGCCCCCCGTTCATTGCCTTTTGCGTCTCTCGAGCTGAAAATGGCTAGCATACGATCCGGGGACACCCAGATAACTTCCTCTGCAAAACATCCGTTGATTTCGCCTTGCACCCGTAAGAGCAACGTGTGCATATGCGATTGGAGGAAGATCGCGTCAACATCTCTCCGCTTACGGAACAGGGTCGGTCAGACTGACGCAGATAAAAACATGGTATGTTTTGTGTGGACGCCCTCCCTAAACATGTAGCATGCATACCGTAACCGTGATCGTGCGGGCGAGCGCGTGGCTGCTGTGCCACCAATTGATTTCTACAGCTCGATTCATGGTCCGCAACCCAGAACGTGCCAATCCCGGAAAGGATGGGCAGCTTCCGAAAAAAGGTCATGTCGAGGGCATTCGTTGCTGCACGTGTCGACTCGGGGGGATTTTTCGCACCCATTTTGTTTGTAGAGAGATATCGGTCGCTTCCAATCTCGATCGCAACATGCGCGTTCCCCCGCGCTTTCACGGCGTATCCCTGGGCTGTTGGTCAGCAAGAGAGACGTGTGCTCCAAAAAAAACATGAAGGAATAAATTGGAACGCAGGGGAGGAGAGAGAACACCAAATGCAGCAAAGAAAAACGAGACGCTCTTCTGCGGATAGAGAGGGATATTACGAGATAGGGAATAATTTAAGAAAAAATAAACAAAAGCGCGCTTCGAGCTATGATAGCTCGAGACTCACCACCCAGTCCACGGCCCGCACGATCTCCGCAATCTCCGTCGGCAGCAGCGCCGTCATCACAAACGCCTTCCCCGCGCCGTCCCCCGCCCCGAGATCGGGCGGGACACACGCCTTCGCGTACAGGCAAACCACGCGCAACAGCGACGGGTGTAAATCGACCTTGCCCCCCGGTGCTCCGCCGCCGCTGCTGCTGCTGCTGCTGCTGCTGGTGGCGGTTCCGGTGCCCGCGCCGAGAATGGTGGATAAGACCCAGTCTCGAAGGTCGATGCGGCACCGGACCAGGAGCCCCTGGGATTTTCGTTTTATTGGACAACGTCGTGATCGAGAAAATGTTTTGAAAAGCGAGCTGGTTGGATGCTGGAAACCTTGCTCGCTTGGGATAGGGAAACCATTCAACCATTGCAAAGAGAGAGAGAGGAACGAACGGCCTGTGATTTATCATCGAGTTGTTCAAGCAGGTGGATGTAGGCATCGGTACGCTTGGGAAAGGGAAATCACTGCAATCGGTGGCTGGAAACGTCGGCGATCGGCCTGTAAATTGACATCGAAATGTTTTAATGCAGCTGAACGCAGGAAGCATTTCGAAGTCAGAACAAGAAATCTATTAGAAAAAGGAGACACGAAACGCCGGAAAACGGTCGGCCGGAGGCTTGGGTGGCGATCCTTTGTCGGTAGGGGGTGTGCAAAATGGATGGATGGCATGAAAGACACGCAGGGGGGGACTTGTGGCATATCTCATATCTTAGCGTCATAGCATGTAGTTTCTTGGCGTTCCCGGACCGAAAGCGGCCGCCGGAGGGGGAGGGGGCGGGGGACTGGGGGCTCCAAGAGTAGCCGGTAGGGTGGTGATCGAAAACAACTGGGGCTGCTGGACCGTCGTATTTCTGCTGCTTACAGGGGAAACAGTAAAGAAGCGGTCAAAAGCAACACATTCGTGTCTCCAGAAGATGCCCCCCTTCAGTATCGCCGAAGAACAGTGGTCGCTCGATTGCGACCGTTAACTCAATCCTTTGTTCCCCAGACTTTTTGCACAAAAACACAAACCACCCCCGGGTGGTCCAACTTATTAGGCGAAGAGCCCACGCGCACACACACGAAAGTCCGAGAGCGAGAGTGCAGCACCAGCTAGATCTCCCCCGCCATACCTGTTCCAGCGCCTCCTCTACGCAATCCACCGGACATAGCCTCCATCGCCCCCCGCCCGCCGCCGCCGCCACGATCGCGCCGCCCCCCGCCGCTGTTGCTACCGCCGGTGGCTCTCCCTCCACCCCTTCCGACACGGTCGGTGCCAGAGCCGAGCCAGGGGCCGCTGCCGCGACGGGGACCGAGCAGCTCGGCGGTAGCGCTTTCACGCAGTCGGCAAGGGCAGGCTCGGAGAACCACCCGGCCCCCCCGGCGGCCGCCGCCACCGCCACCGCCGCCGCCGCCGCTGCACCCGCTGCAGCTTCTTTGCTGGTACCACTCCCACGGCCCCCGCCGCCACCGGAGCCTGCCGACCATGACCGTGGCCGCACGCGCGGAGTCGGCGTCGGTGCCCCGCTGGAGTTCCCGCTGCCGCCGCCCCCCGCCAGGGAAAGCGGCGGCATGACCTCCGAGCCGCGTCGAGCGGCGGTGAGCTTGGGGCCGCCGCGGGGGGACACCGGCGGCGAGGCGGTGGCGGCGGCGGCGGCGGCGGCATCGGCAGCCGTGTTGTTGGAGGGACGCGGGGACGACGGCGGGCGAGGGAACTCGGACTCCGAGGCGGCTAGCGCGGCGTCCCGGAGGGCGTCGAGGGCGTCCATGCCGTCGGGGCCGGTCAGCGGCGGTGGGGTGGATCCCAGCGCCCCCGACACCACCTTGGCGACCGCTTCGAAACGCGCCCCACGGAGCAACAGAGCGGCGTAGAGCCCCGCACAGCAGCAGCAGCGGCGGGCCCCGTTGCCGCTTTTTCTGCTGCCGCCGCCGCCGCCGGTAGTAGTCGAGCGGCAGAGGAGGACGAGGCGACGCAAGGCAGAAGCGCAATGCCTCGCTCCTTTCTCGGCGCCCACGCCTGCCGCCGCCGTGCGACTGCCGCCGCCGTCGTCATCGACCTTCTTGCCACCGCCGGCGCCGCTGCCGACTCTGCCCGTTGCACCGCTGCCGCCGGCAACGGCGCCGCCGGTGGCGGCGGCGGCGGCCACCCCGCCCGCGGTCAACAAGATCGAGCACACGATGATCTCCTCCAGCTTCGCTACCGTCGCTGACATCCCGGCCTCGTCGCCTTGCTCCCCCCCGACAGACGTTGTAGCAGCTTTTCTCGCTGCCGTCGCCGCCGTCATCGCAGCGGCTGCCGGGCCGGGGGCAGCAGACAGCAGCAGCAGCACAGCCTCAAGCGCGTCGGTTGGGGCCGACATGGCCGCCTGCAGGTGACGCTCGGTCAGCGCCGCCGGTCGCCCGAGGCCCACCAGCTCGCAGTAGGCGCGCAGGGCCACGGAGAGCTCGCCGACGGTGCCGGTGGTGGCGGGAGCGGTGCTGCTTCCAGCGCTGCGGTCACTGTACGCCGCCGCCGCCGCCCCGCCGCCGCCGCCTACGGTCTCCCGAGCGAGGGCCTCGACCTTAGCGAGCACCGTGTCCAGGAGCTGCTCCGTGACGGCGGGAGACTTGCGGAGGTGCCTGAGGCCAAAAAATGGAAGAAACATCGGATGAGTATACATGCATACGTCCTGTCTTCGTCGCCAAAGATATCATAGCGAATGGAGCAATCGAACGGTCCCGATGTTGAAGGCGAACGGTAGACTAGGCGCACAAAACAAACCATCCGCAAAAAATAAATTACACCGCCACCGCCGCTGCAACAGAGCGCGGGTTGTACACGACTCACCCCCAGAACCAGTGCGAATTCAGCCCCGCGTTCCCGCCCCCTGTCCCGACAACACCTCCGTTGTCCTCCTGCCGGTGGTGCCTCCCGTGGCCGGAGCGCTTAGACAGCGACGATCCGGCGGCGGAGGCAGCGGCAGCGGCAGCGGCAGCGGCAGCGGCAGCGGCAGTGGCGGCGGTGTGGTCGTTGTCCTCGCCGGAGGCGGTGGCGGCGGCGACCGCGAGCACGAAGCTGTCGGCGTCGCAGAGCACCTCGCACGCCACCTTCGCGCAAACCCCGGGGAGAGAACGGCGCTTCACCTGCGGTGCGCGGGGGCATGACGTCACCGTTGCCACCAGGAAAAAAAAAAAACGACGAAAAAATCAGGACGACGACACGCGGCCTTTATCCGCGCGGCGGTATAGCAAACGTGTAAAAAAAGTAACAGTTTTTCTTTTTTGCGCAAACCCCGGGGAGGGAACGGCGCTTCACCTGCGCTGCGCGGGGCCATGCCGTCACCGTTGCCACCGGGAAAAAAAAAAAACGAAGGAAGATCAGGACGACGACAAAAGAGGGTAAGCTGCAACGTGGGGGACACGCGGCCTGTAATCGTCGCGGCGGTTCAGGAAACGGAAACAAAAAAAACAGTAGTGCTTTCGATGTCTATTGCGACAGGAGTTGGTCGGACGGGTTGCGGGAGGAAGGCGGCGAGAAAGGAAGGGGCTTAGCTGGATCACTCGAGGGAGGTCTTCATGATAGGTGTAAATCTGGTGTAGATGGTACAGCTTGACTCGGCTGGCGGCATTGGTTCCCCGGGGACACGGTGGCTCAAGTGCCACCACAACAACCACCAAAACACATCACCATCATCATCATCATCATACACCAATCATCATCATCATCATCATCATCATCATCATCATCATCACCATCACCATCATCATCATCATCATCACCATCATCATCATCATCATCATCATCATCATCATCATCAACATTGTCATTACCATCATCATTATCATTATCATCATCATCAACAACATTATCATTATCATCACCGCCAACACCATCATCATTATCATCATCATCATCACCAACATAACAACAACAACAACAACAACAACAACAACAACAACTGCCAAGCAAGCCTCCCGCGAAACAGAACCGTTCTCCAGCACACACAACGCCGCCACTCACCAGGACTTGGCGAACCTTAACGCTGGCTATGGCCCCCAGCCCGCAGAGCCGCATCACGAGCTCCTCCGCCCGCCTCGAGACCCTGTGGGACGTGCGTGTCGCGGTGATCCCCGGGGTAGCGGCGACGGCGTCGCACACACCCAGCACGATGCTGCGAGATCGGCGTGGCAGCGCAGGGAGAGAGAACAGATATTTAGATCATCGAGAAGAAAAAGACATGGAGAATTGTATTGTAGACTCGAAATTGAATGATGGAGAAACATGGGGGTCGAGAACGAAAGAGCGAGAACAAAAACAAAAGATGGAAAACAAAGGGTTGAGAAAAAAAAAATCGAGACCAAAAAGGACATCCAGAACATAATATCGAGAACAAAAGATCCAGAACAAAGGAGGGTCGAGAAAAAAAATCGAGGCCAAAGAGGACATCCAGAACACAAGATCGAGAACACAAGATCGAGAACAAAAAGGGTTACGGTACGGTACGGTTTCCTGGCAAGAGCTCGCCACGTACAATGACAAGGCAAATAACTGCTGCCATGCACGCATGATCAGCGGCTATACTGCTGAAGTACAGATACTAATGTTTGGACGGGCGTCAATCTATATCACGGTACGGTATAAATACGGTATGCGGAACAAACACCAACTAGTTTGTTGTGCCATGGAGAACACCGTGTGGCCGAACGACGCGGCGCAACCTACAGCACGGCATGGTACGGGATGCACCATACTTCGAGGGGGTGTACTCGTGTGAACGCATGCCGTGCGTACTCGCTACACCATTGACCTCGCGATGCCGGGACCGGCGTCACCGAACGGGACAAAACAGCAGCAGCGGGCGGCGGTGGGAGACACGGAATGACCGACCTTTCCAGGCTGAGGGGGTCGTTCATGGCGGAGACATGGAGCAGGGACGGGGCGAATCGCGTCCGGAGCAACGCCGCCGAAGACTCCCGCATCCTCACCCGGGGGGCGTGCGCTAGCAGCACGGGCAGGAGCATGTGCAGCTCTTCCTCGAGGGACCTGGCCAAAAGACGACGGCAAAAGACCCGGAGGGCGTCAAAAGAAAGTCGGACACAGCGCGCGATACGAGGCGATGACATCGACAAAATCAAGGAGCGTCGAAAGAAAAATCGGACACAGCACGACGATGTCCACGACGATGGCCATGACGACAGAACCGAGGAGCGCTAAAAAGAAAAGTACCGACGCAGCACGATACGATACGATACGACGACGTCGACGACGACGCCACATGGGAAGGCAGTCGAAGGCACGACGTACAGAAGCCGGCGGCAACAAGACGGAAACACATCACCCCACCACAAACACCACCGACTCTTCCAACCACGATAGAACGCTGCAACAACAAAACAATCACAGAGCAAAAAAAGACCCACGACGACTACAAACAGAACCACACACAACACAAAACAACGAAAAAAAACAAAAAACGCCATCCTACCGAAACCATACCGTTGACTCAGCAAGTCCAGGCTTTCTGACGAACCGCCACCACCGTCTCCGCTTCGCCCTACCGCCGCCCCGCCGCCGCCGTCGCCACCCCGAGCTTCTACCGCCCCTGACGCAGCAGCGGCTCCGCCGCCCCCCGCCGCCGCCCCAACTCCCACCGCAGGGGAAGAAGCTCGCGAAACGACACCCCTGCTCGGCGACTGCCTCCCACCGCTCTGTGATTGGCCAGCCGTAGTAGCCGAGGTGGTGGTGGCGGAAGCAGTTGAGGAGCCTGGGTCGGCGGCGATGAAATCACCTTTCCCCCGGCGGAAGGCGGACATTAGG